AAAAGTGATGTAATGTGTGTAAGGTAGTGTAGTTTGGTTTGGGTGTACTATGACAGCAGTACACATCTATAGTTGCATTCTTACATCAATGCATCAGACTTGACGACAATTTGCGTAGCCCACAGGTTGACTGGTCATAAGGGTGAGCTTATAATAGGCTTTCAATTACTATGATGCTCAAGGATGTCGTCAAATTTGATGTTTTGGATGCAAACACCGAACACCTACGCGCTTTCTGCAATACGTGGGATCCTACGACGAATTGCGTATTCGGTGTAAAGTGTCGTCAAATCTAATGTTTTGGGTGCGAACACCATACGCGTTCTGCTAATATAAACTCTGAATTCGTCGTAAAATTCAGTGTATTGTCTGTAAACACGAACTTAGCGGCGTTTGATCTACATGTCCCACGGGAAGCCTCGCTGCTCGTAGGATCTGACGCATTGTCTGCAAACACTTCAATGATATCATTCTGGACACTTTCATTTGAACTTCATCAAAAACCCTTTCCTTCTGTCTAGACACCCCTGCCATTTACCTCCTCTCGCCTTCTTGTTTATGTCAACCAGACTCATTAGAGATTTCTTAGCTTTTTGTTGTCATTCCTGTCTTCAGTATATACTAGATGTTAAATTTCAATATTCTTTGAAAAAATTCACCTGCCGCTTCAATAAAATCGATGTAAAATTCCAGAAGCTGGCCGCACCACACACCAACCAACCCCAACATCATATCGAGTCGAGTGCTTCAGCAACTTCAGACATTAGCTTCGGATTCTTGTTTTGTGGACGACTGTCGTTTACGACACAAATCAATAATAGGTGGGTTTGAAAATGGAGAAAAAGAGCTTTTGAATGAAATAGAGATCGAAACTCTAGGTTAGGTAGGAGCTGAGATACAGTAACCACAAATACTTGATTTTTTCGGGAAGAGAATAGTTAAATTTGGAGCCCTACAGAAGTACTCCACATTTTTTAAATTTTTTTGAAAATTCTTAGAGTATACTAAACAAAAACAGAGCTTCAATTTTGCAGTTGACAACTTTTTTGTATCTTTTTTGGTTTTTGAGTTATGCGCCTTTAAAAATACCATCCCCACCCTCTCGTTTAAGATGGGCCGGGGGAGGCAAAGTGGTACTTTTTAAAGGCGCATATCTCAAAAACTAAAACAGTTACAGAAAAGTTGTCAACTACAAAAGTGAAGCTCTATTTTTGTTTAGTACATTTTGAAATTTTTAGACAAATTGAACAATTTTGGATTGCTTTTTTAGAACTCCGAACTTGACTATTTTTTAATAAAAATGTTCAAAATACCACAGACAATTTTGAGCTTATTTATCTCGGCTCTTATGAAAGATATCAAAAAGTTGTTAACTACAAAATTAAAGCTCTGTTTTTGGTTAATATACTCTGAAAATTTCAGACAAATCTAAAAATAGCAAATCACTTTTTCAGAACTTTAAAATTGCATTATTTCCAGGGTAAACGTATGTGGCGGCACAGAATTCACCCCCGCCGATTTGGCTCGGAAAAACAGCTTGATCAATCGTCAACTCGAACGGGATAAAATCGAAATGAAGCGAACGTTAAAAATCCTGCTCCTCGGTGGACCAGAATGCGGCAAGAGTACCATCTTCAAACAAATGAAAATCATTCATCTCAACGGGTTTTCCGACTTGGACTATGTCAATTTTCGTTATCTAATCTACAGTAACATCATGCAAGCTATGGACCAGCTGCTAGACGCCGCAGAAATGTTCCATTTTCCACCAGACGACTCTCCCTCGATTAGAAGGGCACTGAATCACTACAGATCCTATAAAATTCGGTACAGTATGTCGGAAGTGGAGTTGAATCGAGAGCTCACCGAGTCCCTTCAAAAACTGTATCATTCTGAGTTTATCAAGGCGGTGTTGAATCGGAGAAACGAGATAACACTGTTGGATTCGGCGACATAGTGAGTGGTCTAGGAAAATCTTAGGCCAACGATTTTTTTTCAGTTTTCTGGACGATTTGGACCGGATATCGGCACACGAGTACAAGCCAACACAAATGGATGTTTTGAGATCGCGGGTCGCGACGACGGGTATCACAGAAATCGAATTTCCATTTCGAGAGGCCACATTGAGGTTTGCATTCTTCGAAACTACACAAAAAAGTTGTTGTTTTTCAAAAATGTGTCACTCTATAATTTAAAATTTCACCTGTTTTGAGATTCTTAGAAAATGAATGATGTTGGTTTTTTTTCAGAATGGTTGATGTTGGTGGTCAGAGATCGGAGCAGAGGAAATGGGTAAGAAGAGTTTTGGAATTCTAGGCCAGGGGGTTTCCTAGGCCATGGGTACTTTAAAAGAGGTCAAATGTACTAATCAAACATAGAGCTATGATTTTGTAGCTGAACATTTTTTCGTAACTTTTTTGGTTTTCGAGATATGCGCCTTTAAAACTACCGTATCCATTGTCCTCTTCATCATTGAGAGGGAAGGATGTGGGTGAGAGGGTACTTTTAAAGGCGCATCGCTCAAAAACCAAAGAAGCTACTAAGAAGTTGTCAACTACAAAATTGAAGTTCTATTTTTGTTTAGTACATTCTGAAATTTTTAGACAAATTGAACAATTTTGGATTGCTTTTTTAGAACTCTGAACTTGACTATTTTTGAATAAAAATGTTCAAAATACCGCAGACAATTTTGAGCTCACACACTTGAGCTCAATTATCTTGGTTCCTATTTAAGATATTAAAAATTTGTAAACTCATTTAATATTTATCATAACATCACCAATATTTCATCAGTTGACACATTTTTGAAATCTCTTATCAGCACCGAAAGAATTGAGCTCAAAATTGTCTGCGGTATTTTGAACATTTTCATTAAAAAATAGTCAAGTTCGGAGTACTAGAAAAGCAATCCAAAATTGTTCAATTTATCTAAAAATTTCAGAATTTACTAAACAAAAATAGAGATTTAATTTGTAGTTGACAACTTTTCTGTAAGTTTTTTAGTTTTTGAGATATGCGCTTTTAAAACTACCGTATCCATTGTCCTCAGCATCATCGAGAGGGGAGGGGTGGGGGAGTAGTATTTTTAAAGGCGCATATCTCGAAAACCAAAGAAGCTACTAAAAAGTTGTCAACTACAAAAATGAAAATCTAATTTTGATTATTAGTCTTTGAAAATTTTGATAGAATCGAACAAGATTTCTAACTTTTTTATTCGCTTAAATCAAAAGAATCATGCTGAAATGGTAGAATAGGCGGTCTTCTATTTAACGTCTTTCCTCCAAGAATTGAAGTTTAACCACATTCAAGTTTTATATAATTTTAAAGTTCTTTTTAAGTTCTATATTTTATTTTTTAATTCAACAAAAAATTTCAAAATTGAAGCAAGTTGTGGAGCTTGTAACGCACCAACCCAACTCGCCAGGGCTCGTCAAGGGGTGTCAAGACCGATTAGCTTGTATCTTTTTTCTCCTTAAAGCTAGGATTCTGAAATTTGAAAAGCATAATAAACATGTTTGTTTTAATATAGGTACCAATTTTCAGAAAAGTAGATATGATGGGTCCAGAGATACAGAACGTTAAAGTTAGCGTAACAACACGCATGGGTCGGCATTGTCGTAGCTCAGCTGGTACCATAACTTTGACTTCCGTTATCTCGATTCCCATGGGAGGTAACAAAAAGTGGTCAACTAACAAAATAATTCCAAAATTAAGATAAACATTTTATTAGTTGACTATTTTTCAATAGCTTTCACAAGAAACGAGAAAAATCGGGTCAAAGTTATAGCAATTAGGGTCAGCTAGTTAAGCATGACTTCACTTTGACGCCGCTTATCTCGGTTCCAGTGAGAGGTATCCAAAAATGTTAAACTGGCAAAACTTTTTTGATGTTATGGTAATCATTTTATCAGTTGACAGATTTCTGATATCTTTAATAGGAAACCAGATAAATTGGCATAAAGTCTATACGGTTCTTGAGTTGCCCTGCTAATTGGCGCCAAGCCTCCAAACTAATTTTTTTTTCAGATTCATTGTTTTGACAACGTCAATGGCGTGCTCTTCATCGCCGCCATCTCCGGCTACAACCTGTTCATGGACGACGAGGAGAACCGTCAGGAGAATGGGCAGCCCGGAAAAACGAACCGCCTTCGCTACTCGATGGAACTCTTCAAACGAATCGCCAATCATCAATGCTTCTCAAAAAAGACAGCCATGATCCTCTTCTTGAACAAAATCGATATCTTCAAGGAGAAAATCCCCAAGTATCCACTAACATCGTGCTTCAAAAATTACAAAGGAGCCAGCTCCCTGGAGCCGGCTGCCAAATACGTGGCAGATCGATTCACCAGACTAGTGTCTGGGGATATTCAACACGAGAAACCCGTCTATTCCCATTATACCAATGCCACGGACACCCGAAATATCGATCGGGTATTCGATAGTTGTATGGATGTGGTGTTCAAGATTTCTATGGAAAAAGTTGGCTTCATGTGAGTACCCAGGATTACGGTGTGTGAATTTTGTAATGCGCCTTGAAAATCGTGAATGATTCAGATAAGCCTCATCGTGTGTACATATTACTAACCGCATGCTGGAGTGGTTGACCTTCTGGTGAATCTTGTTCTTGTGGTTTCTTTGGTGGGAAATTCAAATTTTCTTGCAGATACTCTTGATTTATACCTCAACTGCCTCTACTCTACTCATTTTTTTGGCATATTGATGCAAAATTTTCTTTCTAATCACAAATTAATAAACATTTGGTTTTGTAGCTCTCTAATTACAGGATTTTTTTTTCAAATTTGAAAAATCCGGGGCCCACTGGGTCGGATGGTTTTATTCTAATCAATGGTTTTATATAATGGGGTTATTCAGGGAGTCGGCAAAAAAGGAAAAAAAAACTCCGCGAAAACTCGGAGAGTGTTCCAATCTGGCTGAAACTTTGGGGAAAACTGGAGAAAACTATAGGAAACATTTTGCCAAAGTTTGGGATCAAAATATCGGCTTTGAAAATTTGGCTGGAATTTCAGACAAATTTTCAAAGTTGATATTTTGACCCCAAACTTTGGAAAAATGTTTCCTATAGTTTTCTCCAGTCTTCCCCAAAGTTTCAAGTATGATTTAGAAAAAAATTCAACAATTCAGAAAATTCAAAAAATTCAAAATTTCAAAAGTTCTGAAATTCAAAAATTCAGAAATTTCAAGGATTCCAGAAAATCCAAAAATTCAAAACTCAAAAAGCCAAATTATTAAAAATTTAAAAAATTCAGAAAATCAGAGAATCGAAAAATTTCAAAAATTCAGAAAATTCCAAAATTCAGAAAATTCCAAAAGTTCAGAAAGTTCAAAAAATTCAAAAATTCAAAAAATTTCAAAAATTCCATAAATTCAGAAAATTCAGAAATTCCAAAAATTCCAAAAATTCAAAAAAATTCAGAAAATTCCAAAAATTCAAAATTCGAAAACCCAAATTATTCAGGATTCAGAAAATACAAAAAATCAGAACTTCAAAAATTCAAAATTTCGAAAATTCAATTATTTTCACAAATTTCAGAAGTTCTGAAATTCGAAAATTCAAAAAATCGGAAATTCGAAAAATTCGAAAAATTTCAATAGTTCACGTCCATCCTCTTCATTCAATTACAAAAAATATTACAGAGAAAATCAAGAGTTCTCTAAAAAAACATCCGTATTCATTCATTCGCCGAACAGATATTCACACATGCATCTTCAAATTTTTGGGATTACATAAAGAAAAAAAAGGAGGCGTGGACTCCTTTTTCTTCTAGTGTCCCGTTGGAATACTACTGCTTAATACAGTATTCGGACGTTTCCATAATGGGAAAATTTCCGATTTTCCAGTTTCCGGATTGATGTAACGGTACGAGTGATAGCAACGAACAAGGTCCGATAGGCGGCGGAACTGAAATTTTGAATTCTGAAATTTTATTTAAAAATTTTTTTCGAATTTCTATAAATTTTTGATTTTCTGGGAGTTCCGAAAAACGAAAAACTCTAAAAAAAGCAGAAAGTCAGAAATTCGGAAAATTTAGATTTTTTTGAATTACCAAAATTTCCAAAAATTAGAAATTTTTGGAAAATCAACAACTTCAAATTTCATATCTGTCTGTCTGTCCGTCCAGATGTCTCTCTTACCAATTGAGTGTGCTGCTTGTTGATAATCACCGTCCACCACATACTGTTATTCTCAGTGAGCACTTGTTGAACACGGAAGTTGAAGATCTGAAATTTCAGAAATTTTTTGAATTTCTGAATTTTTGAATTTCTGAATTTATGAATTTCTGAATTCCTGAATTTCTGAGTTTTTAAATTTTTGAATTTCTGAATTTCCGAATTTCTGAATTTCTGAATTTTTGAATTCCTGAATTTCCGAATTTTTGAATTTTTGCATTTCTGAATTTTTGAATTTCTGAATTTCTGAATTTCTGAATTTCTGAATTTCTGAATTTCTGAATTTCTGAATTTCTGAATTTCTGAATTTCTGAATTTCTGAATTTCTGAATTTCTGAATTTCTGAATTTCTGAATTTCTGAATTTCTGAATTTCTGAATTTCTGAATTTCTGAATTTCTGAATTTCTGAATTTCTGAATTTCTGAATTTCTGAATTTCTGAATTTCTGAATTTCTGAATTTCTGAATTTCTGAATTTCTGAATTTCTGTATTTCTGAATTTCTGAATTTCTGAGTTTTTGAATTTTTTAATTTTTGAAGTTTTGAATTTCTGAATTTCTGAATTTCCGATATTCTGAATTTTCGAATTTTTGGACTTCTGAAATTCTAAATTTCTGAGTTTCTGATTTTTCGAATTTACCGAGTTTCTGAACTTTTGAATTTCTGAATTTTCGAATTTCTGAATTTTTGAATCCCTGAATTTCATAATTTCTGAATTTTTTGAATTTTTGATTTTCTGAATTTTTGATTTTCTGAATTTCTGAGTTTTTGAATTTCTGAATTTCTGAATTTTTGAATTCCTGAATTTCCGAATTTTTTAATTTTTGAAGTTTTGAATTTCTGAATTTATGAATTTTTGAATTTCTGAAAATCTGAATTTCCGAATTTCCGAATTTCGGAACTTTCCGATCTCAAATTCCCAAAATTTCCACACCTGATCTTCCGAGTTCCTATAGCAAATGAACAATGGAATATTGATGGAAACTTCAGTCTTTTTCGGTTCCTTCGCCACACGATAATACAAAATGAAATCACCGATTCGTGTCACATTCGACGCCTCCTTCTTATTCAACACACCCTTATAATGCTCTTCCAAATTCGGCTCCACCATCGTCGCCGCGATATTCAAATTCGCGGAAATCGGACGAGAATCCGATCCCAGTGTCAGCAAATGACTATCACTCGAACGGCTACTCATGTTCAATGGAGCGCGATTGGATGCCGATGACATTGAAGACGTCGTTCCAGTTGACGTGGCAAGACTGAAGCAGTTTTCAGTGGTACGTGTCGAACTGCGTCGGGATGATAGATTGTCGTAGCAAGTGTTCGAGAAGGAATTCTTCGCCGGACGACGATTTGCCGTAGAGCGAATTACGAAGTTGGAGCTGAAAATTGTGAAGAATTTAGCCTCTCGTTTCAGAACCAGATTTTCCGATTTTTTCAAAAAGTATCGATTTTTTCATCTCGGCGAAAAATTAACGGCATTTTTGGGAAACTGCGACACCGAATCGATATTCTCGAAATTATCGATTTTTCTAATTTTGTCATGGAAAAGGCGGCGGCGGTTTCTTTTTATGCCGAATATCACTTCTTGAGACTTTAGCGAAAACTTTTAAGGCGAAAATCGGTCAAAAATCGATAAAGTCAGTTTTCCCGCAATTATCGATTTTTTTGTACAAGCCGCCACAAGCGTCAGGAATTTTTTCAACAGAATTTTAAGCTGAAAATTCGAGAGCTTCTTGAAAAAAATTGAAAAAATGTAATTTCTGGAAAATCGTTTTTTTTAATCGATAAATTATCGATTTTTCCCTCGAATTTCTCGATTTTTAGTGAGCGCAATAGATTCGTTGAAGATACATTATTCTTTCAAACAAAAGTCTGAGAAAAATTGAAAAAAAACCCCTTTTTCGCAAAATACCGATTTTCCGGAAAATCGATATTTTTTACGAAAATTATCGATTTTTCCAAATCGGCGGAAACCTATTTTTGTGAAACAACAATGTTAGGTAGTCGCTTTGAAGTCCCCGAAAAGCGGTAAAAAATTTCCGATAGCTCCTAAATCGATAAATTATCGATTTACCGATTTTCCCACAAACTCACTCTCTTGGCGACTCATCATTGGGTGCATGACGCCGCGCCCGTTCGATCTCATCATCTTCTCGGATCGACAGTATTGATTCGGCAACTCTTCTCGTGTACTTTTCTTCTTTTTGCTGTTCTGAGGAAAATCGATATTGATTGTTGTGGCACTGAGCGACAAAAAAGAAAAACAAGCTCAAAAATGTGTATTTTCACGGGTAAAAGATTTACAAACAATGGAATTAGTAGAAGCTGAGAACTGGCGGACGTCCACAAACGTATCCGTAGTTGGTGAATAGTGCCTTCTCGAAATCATATGGTGGTACGGCCATGTCACAGCTGGAAGAGTTTTATTTGTTAGTTGTGGACTAACTTTTTCGGACTCAATTATCTCAGTTTCTGTGAGAGATATCAAAATATTATCAACTGATAAAATGTTTGTCAAAAAATTCTTAACACTTTATCAGTTTACAATATTTCGATATGTTTTATTGCAGCCGAGATAATGGAGCTCAAAGTTACGGTATCCTTCTGGCAGCCGGCCAAGCTGGCCTAGGATTTTTCTAGGTCACTAAAACTCACTGAATCGCGTGAAGCTGTCCGTTACGATCGTCGTTTCCAGGATAAATCCACATTTGAACACAATCGGCGGTGATTGAGTCAACAGTCGGACTGCAAAATTTTTTGTTTTTTGTCTTTTTTTAAACGAAAAATGATCAAATTTACGGTCCTACAAAAGTGGTCCAAAATTTTTGGATTTGTTTGAAATTTTCAGAGTGTACTAAACAAAAATACAGCTTTAATTTTCTAGTTGGCAACTTTTTTCTAGAGTTTTTGGTTTTTGAGATATGCGCCTTTGAAAATATAAGATCTCCCGCCCCCTCCGTCCCTATTATGAAGGGGCGGGGGAGATGGTATATTTAAAGGCGCATATCTCGAAAACCAAGAAAGACGCACGAAAATTTTCAACTGCAAAAATGTGGGAAATCCTATTTGCACTATTTTTGTAATTGACAACATTTTTGTATCTTTTTAGGTTTTTGAGTTGCGCGCTTTTAAAGGGGGACTCCGACCAAAAATTTTTATTGCATTAAAATGTGTTAAAAGTTATCTATTTTCCGAATATTATTGCTAACAAATTCAAAAAAAGTTCGAAATTCCCAAAAAACGGCGTTGAAAAGGAAGAAAATTCAAAAAAAGGTGCCGCCGGGGGACGAGGATTTTCAATGAGAAACCTAGGCCACGCCGCTTTTCCTACGTGGCAAATTTTCCGGATTTTTTTCAATTTCATGTCCGGCAGGTAAAAAACGTAAAAAACCACTGTCGGCGACTTGAAAAAAAGGCTGTCAGATGCCGTGGCCTANGTTTCTCACTGAAAATCCTCGTCCCCCGGCGGCACCTTTTTTTGAATTTTCTTCCTTTTCAACGCCGTTTTTCGGGGATTTCGGATTTTCTTTGAATTTTTTCGCAATAATATTCGAAAAATAGATAAATTTTAACACAATTTAATGGAAAAAAATTTCTGGTCGGAGTCCCCCTTTAATAATACTGTACCCCCCGCCGCCTTCATCATTAGGTGGGAGGGGAGAGGGAGGCGGTACTTTTTTGAAGACGCGTATCTCGAAAACCAAAACAGAAACATAAAAATTGGTAATTGCAAAAAATTGTAAAATAGGATTTCCTATAGTTTTGTAGTTGACAACATTTTTGTAACTTTCTTCGTTTTCGAGATATGCGCCTTTAAAAGTACCATATCCTGCCTCTTAATGGTGAAGGGACGGGGTGATGGTATTTTTGAAGGCGCATAACTCAAAAACCAGAGAAGCTACAAAAAAGCTGTCAAGTACAAAATTAAAGCTCTATTTTTTGTTTAGTACATCTGGCTATTTTCAGACAAATCTATAAATTTTGGACCATTTTTGTAGGAGTCCAAAGTAGACGATTTCTGATGAAAAATAGAAAAGCTACTAGGCAAGGATAGCTACTCAGCGAATTCCAGAAAGTTTTAAAAATCCTGAAATTTTTCAAAAATTTTCCGGGACTGTAGACTTACTAGGTACTGTACTCCTCGGTTCTTATTGGCCAATATGCCCAAGATGGTGCAGTTCTGTACCATTGAGTCCATGCGTACTTTGGATCGGTTCTTGGATCGGTGATATCGAACACCTTGGTTTTATCATTGCAAGGAGCGGCGATTTGTTGAGTGACATTTAATGTTCTGCACTGTTCGATACGAACACCATCAAGCCAAATCGATCCTTGGGTGATGTTGTTGTAGCGGAAGTATTTTGATGCGTGTCCTGCAAACAATCAGTTTTCTAGCTCATCTAGAAGCCAAGATACAGCTATTCCAAGCTTTGTAGAGTCGCAGACAGTTAGAGTGTCTCGTTGTCTGCGTCTCTCCATCGTATCTCCGCATCCAGGTGAGTTAGATGATTGAAACTTGAATGAAAACGAAGACAGTTTGAAATCCTATATTCTGAACTATGAACTAATTTTCTAGGTGTCCCAGGAACAAAGACACATAGATTTGAAGTTTGGAAGAGACGCAGACAGCTGGAAACTGTCTACGTCACATAGAACTCCACTTGCTTTTTGACCTTAATTATCTCAGGTACTAAAAAAGCTATCAAAAATCTGAAAAATACAAAAATTTTGATGATATTATTATAATCATTTTATCAATTGACCATTTTTTTTTGATATATTTTACAGGAATCGAGATAATTAAGTTCAAGGAACGTATAGTGTTTATGGGATCTCGGTTCCGATATCTTCACTTTGAGCTCATTTATCTCTGTTCCCAAAAAATTTATCAAAAAGTGGTTAACTAATAAAACGTTGCTGATATCCTGATAAACATTTTATCAGTTGACAGTTTTTTGATATCTCACACATTGCCCGATTTAATTGAGCTCAAATGTGGGGACATTGCTTACGGTAGCCACTCTTTTCTGTCTTCCCTTTGAGCTCAATTATCTCAATTACTAGAAAAGTTATTAAAAATTTGTAAACTACAAAAATGTTTGTCATAAAATTTGCAATATTTGTTTTGTTGACAAATTTTTGATACCCAAGATAAACTAGATCAACTTCTATATCTCAATGTCCTAATATCCCAATACTCACTAACGATATGCTTCTGCTCATCATAGCTTGCAAACGTCGACAAAACGGCTCCTTCAGCGTTACAAGCTTGCTGAGCAGCCTGTTCCGAAACCGACACGTTGACCATAACCACACGGAGACACCACATTTTCGTCTGATTGTTTGTGGCTGTTGGCTGACGGTAGTATCCTTTGTAGTGTTTTGGACACTTCATTTTCTGCTGCTTTTCTTCCGATTCACAGGATTCTGAAACTCTTATTGTTAGATTCTAGAACTCTGGGGTCTTTAAGTTTTCAGGATCTAAGGGCAAGACTATCAAATTGAAAAACTGGTTACGGTATTTTAAGATATGCAGGTTACGGTAGGTCAGTCGACTCCTAAACTTTCCAGTTAAGGAGAACCGATACCGACTGAGCTGCGCAGTATTAACTTTAAGTCCCTGTATCTCGGGACCCATATTAGCTAGAATTTTGAAAATTGGTACAGGTACTAAGGCAAATTTGTTAATTGTGTTTGCTAAATTTCAGATTTCTAACTTTTTTCAAGACAGAGCTACGCGGTCGCCAAGTTGACTACCGACAGATGAAGCGGTGCACGCTATTATCCTAGCTTCAATGGTCCATATTTCAGGACCCTTCATAGCTAACTTCCTGAAATTTGATACACATACTGAAACAGACATTTTTATCATTTTTGTCAAATTTCAAAATCCTAGCTTCACCGACAACAGAGCTATGCTGCCGTCAGATGAAGTGGTGCGCGCTGTTATACTATGTAGCTTCCACGACCCGTATCTCACACTATGACCCTACCGTTAACATCCTGTATCTCAAGACCCATTATAGCTAGCTTTTTGAAATTTGGTATGCATACTAAATCAAATACGTTCATTATAACTCTCAAGTTTTAGACCCTTAGCTTCAAGGAGAAAGAAGATACATGTGTTTGAAACCCTGTGTGTTTAATCATGTTCTAAAATCTTTTATTTTAATCATGTTCTAAAATATCTTTTGAAGGTTTGAAAACCCCAACTCACCATCGTTATCAATCACAAATGCTTTGACATTCAGAATACAAAAGCATAGCGCTGCAAAAACGATCCACCGTTTCATTTTGGTGTCCAAAAATGATCGGAAAATGTTCAAATCGGGGTTCTATAAGTTATATTTTTATAGTTCCGCTTTCATTGCAAACCTTCTTTTTGCTTTATGATTTTTCTACAGAAACCTAGAAACACACAAAAAAACGCCCAAGAGTTTTGGAAATATCTTGAATTTTCGAACTTTTTGGACCGGAAACAAACTCGAAATATTTTTCGAAAATGGTCGATTTATCGGAGTCTCTAATTCGGTTTTAAATAAAGATACAAATTTGAAATTTAGCAAACATAATCAATAAATGTGATTTAATTTGTGTACCAAATTTCACGAAATTAGCTATGAAGGGTCTTGAGATATTGAAGTTAAGAACAGCGTGCACCCATTCATCTGACAGCAGTCGACTTGGCGACTGCATAGCTCGGTTGTCATTGAAGCTAGGATTTTGAAATTTGACAAAAATGTTGGTTTCAGTACGTGTATCAAATTTCAGAAAATTAGCTATGAAGGGTCCTGAGATATGGGTCATTGAAGCTAGGATAATAGCGCACACCTCTTCATCTGTCGGTGGCCGACTTTGCGATCGCATAGCTCTGTTTTCGTTGGAGTTAGAATTTTGAAATTTGACAAAAATGATAAACATGTCTGTTTCAGTATGTGTACCAAATTTCATAAAATTAGGTATGAAGGGTCTTGAGATACGGGCTGTTGAAGTTAGTATAACAGCGCACACTACTTCATCTGACGGCAGTCGACTTGGCCACTGCATAGCTCTGATGTCGGTGAAGCTAGGATTTTGAAACTCAACAAACATAATAAACATATTTGCCTTAAAAAGTTAACTAAATTTCAGGAAGCTAGCTGTAATGGGTCCCGAGATACAAGATGTTAAACTTAGAGTTGCTCAGATCGTCGGTCGGCAGCGGCTCTGCATCGTAGGTTGGAGGGCCGCGGTCAGCCGCAATCGGCAAACCTACCGTAACCTGCATATCTTAAAAATACCGTAACAAGAAAATAGCTGTCTAAAGTATGGAAAATAGTTCTTGGAAGTTTGGAATCTTCGAGTTTTTTAAAAATTAGAATTTCGGAATTTTTAGGATTCTCAGACTGTCGTCGTTGTTGTCTTCTTTCTCTTCCTGATCTTCTGAATACCTGCACGTCTTCTGATTTTCATCTGAACACATTCTCCATAGACACCTGATCAGTTTGTGGGATACGCATCACCGAATTCGATGATCATTGAGAAGAAATTCCAAGTTGTTTACTGAAAATTTTTCAAAAAATTCTCAGAAATTTCACATAGGAAAAGTTTGAGAAGTATATAAAACCATGAGATTTTGAAAACTTTTTTTGTTGAAATTTTAAAAAATTCAAATTCTTTTTTTTCTTTCAAAAAATGAAAAAAAAGAAAATTGAACCCAAAAAAAATTTTTTTTTGGCTAATGACATCCCGCCTTCTCAGATATCTAACACTTATTTTTTGGATGGATCAGTTTTTAGAAATTCTCATTTTTCATTTATCTAGAAAAGAACCTTTTTTGTATTGTAACAAAAATAATTTATTTTGTAGTTGTAGGAAAATCTGAAAAAGTTTTTTTTGTTGAAAATTTAAATGTAAGAAAGATTCAAAAAGATTCAAAAACTTTTCAAGAAATTTGAAAAATCAAAAATTAAAAAGTTAAAAAATACGAATAAAAACAGAAATTTGTGTGTGTGTGTGTGTGTGTGTGTAGAATAAAATAAAACCCTTTTCATAATCGTTCCGTTTTCGAAGGCACCCATTTTTCAGCATTCATTTCCATCAAAAATTCAAATTTTGACATAGAAAACAAGCCGTTCGGTGGTCCTTCAATTTCTCTTTTTCTCTCTTTTTCTCATTTTTTTCTAGGGATTCGCATATTCAAATTGAGCATAAAATTTTCTTTTTCTTCTTCTCCCGAATCCTCTCTTTTTCCCTTTTATTTTATTAGCTGTAATTCGATTTTTGGTCCTACTGGTGTATTATTTTTAGAAATTCAGAATTATTTTTTATTTCAATTTCTGGAATTTTTCAACTTTTTTGAAATTTCAAAAAATCGCTGAATTTCTGTAATTTTGAAACTTATTTTAATAAATGCTAAAAATTCAAAAAATTCCGAAAACTCAGAAATTTCAAAATTTTAAAATTTTTAAAGTTTGAAAATTCGAAAATCCGTTTGAAAATTCGAAACATCCCAAAATTTCAAATCTTCAGAAATCAGAATTTCAGAAATTCCAAAAACTTCCAACAAAAAAAATAAATTCTTGAAAATTCAAAAGTCCCAAAAACCAAAATTTTACTTTTGAAAATACTGAAATAAACATTCATAAATTTCCACAAAAAATACAAAAATTTTCAAAAAGTTCCGGAAAATCCCAGAAGTTAAAAATGTTCCAAGAACTTCTGAAACAAAAAAAAACACTAGAAAACTAAAAGTTTCTAGGAACAAATAAGTATTTTCGAAAGTAAACGGTCTCAAAAGATCAAGTGAGATGATCCATCTAAAGTCATTCGCTTCTTTTGGATTAAGAAAAAACATGACTTCTCGAGAACTCATGTTTACGAATTTTCTACTTTTTTCAACTATTTTTTCGGAAAAAAATCTTTGTGTTTTTTTTTGGAAATTGCTCAAAATAGTAGTGTCTTTTTTGTTTTGGAATAGTTTTTGGAAACGCAGGAATTTTGAAATTTTATGATTTTCAATTTTTTTAATTTCCGGAGTACTCTCAACTTTCATGGTTTTCTAAACTCCCAGTATTCCAGAAATTTTTTGTATTTCTGAATTTCTGAATTTCTGAATTTTTGAATTCCCGATTTCCAGAATCTTAAAATTTCTGAGTTTCTGAATTTCTGTATTTCTGAATTTCTGTATTTCTGAATTTCTGAATTTCTGCATTTCTGAATTTCTGAATTTCTGGATTTTTGAATCCCTGAATTTCTGAATTTCTAAATTTCTAAATTTCTGAAATTCTGAGTTTCTGAATTTCTGAATTTCTGAATTTCTGAATTTCTGAATTTCTGAATTTCTGAATTTCTGAATTTCAGAATTTCTGAATTTCTGAATTTCTGAATTTCTGAATTTCTGAATTTCAGAATTTCTAAATTTCTAAATTTCTGAATTTCTGAAATTCTGAGTTTCTGAATTTCTGAATTTCTGAATTTCTGAATTTTTGAATCCCTGAATTTCTGAATCCCTGAATTTCTGAATCCCTGAATTTCTGAATTTCTGGATTTCTGAATTTCTGAATCCCTGAATTTCTGAATTTCTGAATTTCTGAATTTCTGAATTTCTGAATTTCTGAATTTCTAAATTTCTAAATTTCTAAATTTCTGAATTTCTGAGATTCTGAGATTGGGAGACTTTCATTTTTATAGCGTTTTCTTCCTGTTTCTATTGTTTTTATTATTCATTTTTCTGTTTTTTGACTCATAAAACCACCCCGAAGGACCATTAATTTTTCCCATTGTTTTTGTCATTTTTCTCATTCACCAAGTCCGTTTTATAGCTCATTTCCCATTTTTTATTATTTTCAGTCATTCACAGTTTCAGTCATTTTCAGTCAGAAAACAAAACAAAACCATTAATTTTTCTTGTTTTTCATTTTCGTTGAAAACCATAAAATGCTTAATTAAGAAATTCAGAAATTCAGAAATTCAGAAACTCAGGAATTCAAAAATTTAAAAATTCAGAAATTCAGAAATTCAGAAATTCAAAAATTCAAAAATTCAGAAATTCAGAAATTCAAAAATTCAAAAATTCAGAAATTCAAAAATTCAGAAATTCAGAAAAAATATTTTTTTTTCTTGTGGAGAAATATGACAATTTCTCACGAATCTCTATTTCTTTTTTTTCAATTTTTTGAGAATTTTTGGTTATCCTGAAATTTCCAAAATACCAATTGTTAAAGTTTTTTCAACATTTCTTTTCTAAATTTTCGAAATTTCTGAACTCCGAAATTTCTAGATATTACAAATTCTATAATAGAAGTTTCAAGATCAGATTTTTCGATTAAAAAAATCCAGATCCCTTTATCAATTTTCATTTTTTTACCATTCATTTGTTACTTTTAATCTCCCAACTAGGCAAAAATGTATATAACCTGCTCGTAAATTTATTAAGAAAACTCACATCACTTTTTTTTCTGAATTTCAGCTAAATTCAGTGATCCGAAATTTGTCATGAATTATTTATGAATTAATTTCCCTCCGAAGAAATAGTGTGGAAAAATAAGAGAGCGCTAGAGAAAAATTGCTGATCGTTAGGGTTTTTTTTCAGCTGCCTTTTTAATTTTTAAATTATTTTTTTTATCTTTGTCGGTTTCAATTTTAGAACAGCTGAATTTTCGAGAGTGCCGTGCCAGGTACAGAATGTATCTGAAAAAACTGGAGAGTTCAAAAATATGAAAAATTTTCAAAATTGTGAAATATCGAAAAATAGAAATTGTGGAGGTTTGAAACTTCTGAATTTCTAAGAAATCCAGAAACTTGAAAATTTGAAGGTTTTCAGTGGAAATTCAAACAATTCGGAAAGAATCAGAAGTTAGATGATCCAGGACCCAGGACCCAGGACCCAGGACCCAGGACCCAGGACCCATACAAAATTCCTAAATTCTTGGTATCTGAAAATTTTAAAACTTTCAGAAAATCAGAAATTCCAATTCCAAAATATTCGGAAATTCAGAAATCCAGAATTTTCAGAAAAAATCCAAAACTTCCAAATAATTTTCACTTCCTCATTTCCCCAAAATGTTCCATTATCCATATATCCAAGTGCACTTCATTAATCATCCCCGGATCCAAAAAAAAAAACTAGTTGATCCATTTGGTTCCTCTATTTTTTTCCTCGTGTCGTTAATTTTTTTCTTTCCGAGTCATCATTTTGTACTAATCCGTTTTTTATGATACATTTCACCTTTTTTCTCCTGTTCCTTATGATTTTCTTTCTTTTTATTTCTAGACCATTTTGTGCTTTGGACCCATTTCTTGATCTACAAAT